AGTCAGCCGACTCTCCCTGAACATGCAGGCTTGGTTCGGCAAGCACGAGTGCCGTGCCTGTGTCTTGGGATCACGGCTTCCTTCCCGTACACCGCTCCTTCCTTAACCTGGGGTTCACCACCCCCGTGACCGTACATCCAATAATTAGGCGCGTCCGACCCATCTTAGGTTCCTCAGCACCCCCGTGCGCAAGTTCTCAAAATATTTTCTTACCCAGTCCCGCCGCAGCTGACCCCTAAACCATCCGACGGAAACGCAGCCGAGCCCTCAGTGTTTACTTCCCGGCTTTCCGCCCAGTCTGGAAGACGACTGACGTCGTTTCCGGGCCATCACACATGCGCACTAACAAGCACGCCTGCGCGATCAGATCTCGCGAGATTTCGAGCTGACCGTAGTGCCAGTGCCTCGGGTGAGGTTGGAGTTTGGAGAATGAAGTTTGGAGTCTTGTTTTTATTAGGCTCGCTAGTGTGATTCTTAAAACGTAAAATAAGTTTCCAAACATTTTAAAACTTAGTACTCAAAATAGACCACAGCTCAGGCTTCATTAGAGGACTGAAATGAATGGGATAGCTTGTGATACAGTAACTGAAAAAGCAGTTAAAATCAGGAGCTAGGGTGTGTAACGTGCCAGGGGAGGTGAGAGTTTTGTTTGTTTGTTTTTAGGTTCTGTTATAGGGTTATGTGCTCACACGAGAGAGAGAGAGAGAGGGAAAGTGAGAGGTCACCAGAGGGAAGATGACCACCACAATCCCATCTCCATTCTTCTGGGATTTGGGGCATGTATGCATACGTTCCTGCATGATTTTCAAGTGTCAGGTGGAAACTGGAACCTCAGTGGACCATGTGGGTATCCAGGCCATAACCACCGTGCCTCCTGCTGGTCTTAACATTGCCTTTTTTTTTTTTTTTTCTGGATGCTATGTCATTCTGAGTGAGGGAGACACTAAATTATTCAGATAATTTACAGTTGTAGAAAATCTCTAGGAAAGGAATACCAGGTGCTATGAGGGCATGCACTATACACATTTTAGTATTTTGATACCTTGTCAGAAGTGAACTTACATTTTGGCTTAGAAAAGAAATAAGGTGATTTCCATTTTAGAAAGACAGTAATTTTGTACGTATAGCATCCCAACCTCCTTATAAAGTATTGATAAATAAAAGTGTTTAGGAGACCATTGGTTTGGACTGAGCCATATTCACTTCTATCTCTGTGAGGAATAGGTTTTAATCCATGATTAGATTACACTTTTAAATGTTCTTTTTAGGGCCAGCTGGCTTGAAAAACAGAGGATGCATGTGCCTGTGTACCCCAAATCCCAATAGAATGAAGAAATGGAGCTAGGATTGTGACATTGCCACGCCCCACTGGGATGCTTTTTCTTTCTCCTTCTCTCTCTCTCTCTAGGGAGTAAAGGTGCCTGCTAGCAATAATAATAAAAGTCTTTTTTAGGGTAGTTGTCAGAAAGGGGAAAAAGGAAAGGTAAATTTAGATTTGACTTTTTTGAAGCCAGCAGGTGGGGTAGTGGTTGAGGGGTGGGACTCCCACATGGTCAACTATGGTTTCAGTCCTGGGCCCAGTGGCTTGATACACGCCAGTTGCGTGTGTGCGCAAGCCCCAAATCCCCAGAAAAGAACGGAGGAGAAGGGATTGTGGCATAGCCATCCCTCGGGGGGGTGACTTCTCACTTTCTCTCTGTCTCTCTTGGTTTCTAGTGAGCACATATGGCCTATAGCAAAAAAACTCTCTTAAAAGAATTTTTAAAACTTTTTGTAGTCTGTTGAAGTGGAAAAATTGAAAGTATCAAATTTCTTACTTGTAAATCTAGAAAACAATCCTATATTTAACAAATAATATTAAATATGATTTTATACATCAGAAACACTTCAAAATAAATATTATGCTTATCAGAACAAATATCTTTACTAATATCAAAGCAAACAAACAAAAAAACTAAATAAAATGAAATAATTTTTCAAAAAGTTCACACATCTATTTCTTCAGAGAGAGGTTTTTTTTTTTTTTTTTATTGGAGAGGTTTTTGCTATAGGGCGTGTGTGCTCAACAGAAAGAGACAGAGAGACAGAAGGCGAGAAGTCACTCCCCAGGGGCCATGGCCACCCCGCAATCCCTTCTCCTCTTGGGATCTTGGGTATGTGTACACAGGCGCCCAGCGTGAGTTTCAGCCACCGGGTCCGGGACTCGAACTGTGGTGGACTACTTGGGAGTCCAGCAACGTAGCCATTACGCCAACTGGTGGTCCCCAGAGAGATTTTGAGAGCGAGGCACAGTCACCCGTCGTCTCAGCCTTTTGGATCACTGACAGGTGCCAACAGCCTGCAGTGCTCAGATGCCGGATACCACCCCAGCACCTTTCCCAAGTGGATCCAGTTGGGTCACCACTGTGCCACCACCTGGCCTTAGCCATAGTTATTTCATTGCGAGGCGCGGAGCTTTCAGATGATTCCCAACAGGGTTACTGAATCTGCCTCAGTCCAAGCGACTCAGTGTTATAAAGAGCAAAAAAGCCTTTCAGGTTTTATGAATATTGCCCGATCCTAGTTTTTTTCTTCCCAGAATACAAGTCCAAAACTTCCGCAGAAAGGTTCGTCCCATTGGTTCTTCTTGGCGACTCCGCCCTTCGATCCCGCCCCGTGGGTGGGCGAGCCAATCGCGTTGCGAGTTTTGGTTTAAACGGCGAGTGCGCGGCGTCCGATCACTGCGGAGTCTCGGGATAGCTTGCCTGTTGACGGCGGCGTGGGTAAACTGGACGGTCGGGAGTGGTTGGGCCAACCAGGTCCGGTGGGGAAGGAGGCGGGCGGGCTGGGGCCCCAAGCTTCCCCGAGGGGTCGATGGTTCCGAGCCGATTTGGAGCCGCGGGCTCCGACTGCGCCTGTGACCCACAGCGATTCCTGAATGATGGATGGGTGCCTGTCCAGACCGCTGCTCCGGCTCCGGCTTGAAGAATTAAGAACAGGGTTTGGTGCCAGTTGGCTCAAGCACCAGCTTCTCGCTCTGCTTAGCCCTTTTTTTTTTTTTTTTTTCTGCTTAGCTCTTAAATTTGAATGTGAACGACTCTAGGATAGAAAGTTTGGTCTGTTGCTGAATCTTAGCGTCCTTCATCTTCCCCCATCTCCCATCCCCAGTATCTAATACGTGTTTCTCACCCTTAGAATAATCCAGAATGGCTACTCTGATCTTTGTTGATAAGGAAAATGGAGACCCAGGCACCCGGGTGGCTCCCAAGGATGGGTTGAAGCTGGGCTCTGGGCCTTGTAAGTATACAGTAGGGGCTGTAGCGAGATACTCTGCTGTTGAGGATGAATTGGGTATGGCTTGGAGCCCGAAGAGGGAGAGGCGTTTAATGTGCTTTTGTGGGCATGGATGGGCCTCAGATTTGTGCCTGGTCCCTTTTCATGTTCAATATCTTAATAAGATCATTTAAGAGTACTGAATCTCAATACTATTAGGCATGTCATGGCCATGCCATTGTCAAAAACGAGAGTCAGATTTGGGGATGAAAATTAGGTCAAGTTTATGTACAGTCAGCATTCAAGTCGGACAAGTATTTGTTGCCAGAATATTCTTATTGTAAAACGACATTTTTCTTCAACAGTTAAGGCCTTAGATGGGAGATCTCAGGTTTTAACACCACGTGTTGGCAAAATTTTCGATGCTCCACCTGCTTTACCTAAAGCTACCAGAAAGGCTTTAGGAACTGTCAACAGAGCTACAGAAAAGTCAGTAAAGACTAATGGACCCCCCAAGCAAAAACAACCAACCTTCTCTGCAAGAAAGGTAAGTGTTAGCTATAAAGACAGTTTAAACAATCCAGTACTTATGACATTCAAAATGACTACTGGCATCTTGCTTCGCTTTCTCCTGAGTGGAAGGGGAATGTAGACTAGCAGAGGGAACTCATGCTGCTGTGGAATTCTCTGAACACTGAGATCGGAAGTCTCAGATGCAGCAATGCATATTTTTTGCCCCACCTGTCCTTAACCAGTGTCTTCAAGCAGATTAATTGGTGTGATCCACTTACAGATACAGAAAGCGCTGAGAAAGATGGTGCCTTGGGAGAAGTCAAGTTACTGATCCAGTAACTCAGATTCTGCCATCCCGTCCCTTGCCTTCCAAAGCAAGCACCAGCTTCTTAGGTGACAGTTGGCTGGTAGTCTTGGTGTGAGGGTAGATCGTGAGGTACAGGTCATTATTTCCCAGAGTGAGAGGACTTCACCGTGACAGCTGACTTTAGCGTGTGGATTAACGCATAAGTATTAATAATTCAATCATTGTTTAGTGTGTATTAGGAAACAAACAACTGGCACTTTATGTCTAAACCTGTAACTTAGCTGTAGGGCAGTTTACGACAAGATGTCTTTTTTAAAAAGCGCATTGATTTGCGGTCAGCAGGTGGCATGGTGGCTAAGGTACTGGACTCCCACATGGCCAATCATAGTTCCAATCCAGGGTCCAGAGGCTTGAAAATCACTCTGGGCACATGTGATTGTGTTCCTAAAATCGCAAAGGAAGTGATTGTAGCATGGCCATCTCCCTCTCCTCCTCGGGGCTGGGGCAAGGTGTTGGTAATTTCTCACTTTCTCTCTGTCTCTCTTTGCCAAATGCATGCATCTTAAGGAAAAAAAACTCAAAACAAAACCAAAAAAACTGTATTGACTTAAAATGTTAAATAAACTTATTGCAAAGATATGAAAGAAATTAGACTGTTACACAGACATAGGTATGGGAAACTCTACAGTAGATATTTCTTATAGATGTGCACATGTGATAAATCAAGACTATGCAGGCTTCCACTTTAGGCTACTACTGTAGTTGCCCATCTACCAGCCAATTCTAGACTAGGGAAATTACACATATTGGTGGATATTTTGTTTGTTCTATTTCTTTTTATTTTTTAAAATTTATTTTATTTTTATTTAACTTTATTTATTTATTTTGTTATTGTTATTTGACCAGAGAGAAAGTGAGAAAGCAAACCGCCAGATCTGAGACTTAAACCGTGGTCGGCCATGTGGGAGTCCAGTACCCTTAACCACCATGCCATCTGCTGGCCCGTTTGTTCTGTTTCTTTCATGAGAGAGCACACATGTGAAAGAAAGACAAGCACCTTCAACAGGGTCTCAGGCTGTGATTCCCCTGGCCTTTTAGCCAGCCAGGATCATAGGCACACAGATGTGCACTGGGCATGTACAAGTCAGCCTGGGGACCAAACCCCGATCTTGCACATGGCTTCTAGCATTGCCGAGTGGTTTTTGCACTGCTGCTGTGCCGCGGTGGCTGGTCCTGTCTTGGTATTCTAAAGTTCTTGATTGTCTTTTGCTGCTTCTTGTGAAGTATGTATTAGAAAAACACAAACTTGTTTTTAATAGTCATCAATTAAATAGTTAAGGTAACACTGACAGAAAGCTTCACTTCTGTAAACCTAAAAAGTGGTTTCTAGGATTAGTTACTACTGTGGTCGACAAGCCCATTTTCTCTAATGGATTGAATAATTGAGTTCATTAGCTCTGAATTAACCCAGCTCTGCAGTCTTGGTAACATTTACTGCAGGTGCTAGTGCTTAACTTTTTTTTTTTTTTTGGAGAGGTTTTTGCTATAAGGCGCATGCGCTCGCCAGAGACAGAGAGACAGAAAGCGAGAAATCACCCCTCAGGGGGGATGGCCACGCCGCAATCCCTTCTCCATTCTCCTCTCAGGATCTTGGGCACGCACGCACATGCACCCGGCATGAGTTTAAGCCACCGGGTCCAGGACTTGAACCACGGTTGACTACCTGGGAGTCCAGCAACATAGCCATTACGCTAACTGCTGGTCCCATAGCGCTCAACTTTTGAGCCATGCTACTGGGTATTATTTATTTTATACTACCTAACACTGTGGTTCTCACATTTTGATTATATTTAGATATAATCATAACAGAGGATTACAGCTTGACAGATTGTAAAATGTGGTGAAGCAATCATGGCTTCTTTTTTTTTTTTCTTTTTTTGGAGAGGTTTTCGCTATAGGATGTGTGTGCTTGCTAGAAAAACAGAGACAGAGAAATAGAAAGCGAGAAATAACCCTCCAGGGGAGATGGCCATGCCACAATCCCTTCTCCTCCATTCTCCTCTTGGGATCTTGGGCACACACGCACATATGCCCAGCGTGAGTTTAAGCCGCTGGATCTGGGACTTGAACCATGGTTGACTACGTGGGAGTCCAGTGACAGAGCCATTATGCTAACTGCTGGTCCCAAGCAAATATGTTTTGAAGATACCCTACTAACCTGGTTGATGAGACTTCCATTCTTATTAATCCATATTTCCTTGGGTTCTAGATGACTGAGAAGACTGTGAAAGCAACACTCTCTGTTCCTGCCTCAGATGATACCTATCCAGAAATAGAAAAATTCTTTCCCTTCAATCCACTAGGTAATATCTTTTGGTTGAAAAAGAAAAAAAAGGTTTCGGCTTTTAGCTTCTCTTAGAATTTAACTCACCTATAATTTGATGTAAATGTGATTAGATAATCTAAAGCTTTCATGAGACGGTCTGAATCTGGATTACTTTGAACAAATACACTGTTAGCAGAATTATTTGCAGGGTGTTGTCTTAAATCAGGAGAGGAACAGGAGCAAAGCTGCAGAGGACATTGTTTCTGTCCTCAAAAGCTTAGGACGTAGGGGGAGGTCAAGATGTGTTCGCTAACATTGTACAAGTCTCCATGTAAATGAACCGTCTTCCTAGTAAGGCTTATTTTTTAAATTTTTTTTTTTTTTGGAGAGGTTTTTGCTATAGGGCGCATGCGCTCGCCAGACAGAGAGAGACAGAAAGCGAGAAATCACCCCTCGGGGGGATGGCCACGCCACAATCCCTTCTCCTCCATTCTCCTCTTGGGATCTTGGGCGTGCATACACATGCGCCTGGCGTGAGTTTAAGCCACTGGGTCCGGGACACGACCCGTAGTCGACTATGTGGGAGTCCAGCGACATAGCCATTACGCTAACTGCTGGTCCCCCTAGTAAGTCTTTTGAAAAGTGGGCTTTATGGGGCTGGCAGGTGGCATGGTTATTAAGGCACTGGAATCCCACATGGTCGACTGTGGTTTGAGTTCTGGACCTGGTGGTTTGCTTTCTCACTTTCCCTCTTTCTCTTTCTCTCTGGTAAGTGCACATGCCCTACAGCAAATTCAATAATAATGATGATGATAAAAATAAAATTAAATAATTCTTCAAAAAAAGTACCGTTTAAAAAAATAAAGTGGGCTTTATATCAAGTTGAACAATACCTGAGCGTTCTTTGGGTAGAGTTAAGTAGTTCTTTGGTTAGAAAAATCTAGCTAGTGAAAACATGTCTTTAGTTCCTTTATTCTGCTACATGTATCTGAAATATTTTCTGTTATAGAGTCAGTTTTTTAAGCTTTAATTTACACTTAAACATTTGAGGAGAGGCTGGTGTGTGCTAGGCAATATTTGGCAGTGGCTAATAAGACAGGCCTTGCTCTGACGGAGTCCTTAGTTGGGCAAGTCAGACACTGAACAGGTGGTCTCACTAAGGGTGAGCAAGAAGAAGTATTGTAAGTCACAGTATGTGCAAAGATCCTCAGACAGGAGGGAGGACTAAAGCGGGTTTTGGGAAATGAAGGCAGAGTGAAGAAGAATACAGGTGAAGTGTTGGGAACACATCAGACAGGGCCTCGTGGATGTTTTAGTTTGGTTTTTTTTTTTTTCCATTTTAGCCAGAAGCATTTAGTCATCCTTTCACTAAAATACCTTCAGTTTTGTCTGGCTTTTGTATATTATAAATAATCAAGCAATTACTACTCTTGGGATTCTATTGTTGCAAGTTTGTGAACCCATCTGAGGGTAAGGAGGATTGCCGAGCTGGAAGATGTGTGATTAAGTTTCAAGAAAATGTGGTGCATTTTTGCTAATTTCTGGTCAGCCGTATTCGAAAGATCAAAGTCATGGTTCTTCTCACCTTTTTCCTTAGAAGTTAAAGTTCTCTAGAGCCCAAGTACTCAAGAATGAGTCTGCTCTTTTTTGAGCCTGGTAAAATCCAGAAGTCAGAAGAATTGAGTGATAGGCTTTTGTGTCCTGTTTGTATTTCTTGTGTTGAGCTGAAGGGGGGCCAGCAGGTGGGTGGTGGTGAAGGCGCTGAACTCTCTCACATGACTGACCGCAGTATGTTTTTGTGTTGGAAGTTAAAACTGAACAATTTAAAAATGTTTATGAATTCATTAAGCATATTTCATGAATGTAAAGGACATTTTTCTTCATTAAATAACTTCCAAAACAAACAAAAAATGTAGTGAGAAGAATGGTATGGTTTATACTTTTAAGACTTGCTTAATTCGGCCTACCAGAAGACAACTGGATTCTTGTCAAATTCTGTATTCAGAACGTTGCATCTGTTCTGGTTAAAATGTATGAAGAAGGGAACCAGCAGTTGCGTAATGGCTATGTCGCAGGACTCCCACGTAGTCGACCGCGGTTCGTGTCCTGGACCCGGTGGCTTAAAACTCACGCCGGGCGCGTGTGTGTGCATGCCCAAGATCCCGAGAGGAGAATGGAGGAGAAGGGATTGCGGCGTGACCATCCCCCCTGGGGGGTGATTTCTCGCTTTCTGTCTCTATGTCTCTCTCTATCTGTCTGGCGAGCGCACGTGCCCTACAGTGAAAATCTCTCAAAAAAAAAAAAAATGTATGAAGAAAATCTGGCCTTACACAGAAATGTAGTTAAGGAAAAAAGGAAACATTTTAATAGTCTTCTTGGATGTGTGACTGATATTTCATTCAAATTCAACAAGCAGTTGCTTCTGAACATTTTTTTCTTGAGAATTATTTCATTTCATTTATTATTATTATTTTAACTTGACTTGCGAGAGACAGAGACAGAGGTAAAGTGAGAAAGCAAGCTGCCAGGTCTGGGACTCGAACTGCAGTCTGCCATGTGGGAGTCCAGAGCCTCAACCACCTTGCCATCTGTTGGCCCTCTGAACATATAATTTTAACATGGAATCTGAAACTTTATCAATGAGCATTTTGCATTTTGATGGTGAAAGTCATAGGTTTTATTTTAGAGTTGGACTATATCTTTTTTTGATAGAGAGATTTTTGCTGTCAGGCACATGTGCTCACTGAAGAGACAGAGACAGAAAGCAAGAAATCACCCTCTGAAGGAATGGCCACATCGCAGTTCCTTCTCCATTTTCCTCTCAGGATTTTGGGTACATGCACATGCGTCTGGTGTGAGTTTCAAGCTGCTGCGTCCAGGACTCAAACCAGTCAACCATGTGGGAGTCCAGTGCCTCAAACACCACACCTGTGGCCCCTGGAATATAGCTTTTATACTTGCATATATCACAATTTGATCATTTGGAAATATTGGTTCACTGGAATATGTAGATATCCAGATGTTGAAATGCTTCATTATACAATATCAAAAGCATATTTATTAATGTCATCACTGATCTCATTAGAGAATTCTAAGTATAAGCTAATGATGGCAAGGTAAGTTTTCCAAACTAGCGTCTAGCTGATTACAGTTAAGTTTTCTAAAATTCTTATTTTTTTCCTTAGCATTTTAGATTCTGTCATTGACAACAAATTGTCAGTTTTCTTTGAAATGATAGACTTTAATTCCTTTGAGAGAAATGGGTGACGAATACCTAAGTCTGAGTCCCATAGTTTGTCTTTCAGTTTTTCTTTCAAATAAAAATGATGTTTCAAGAAAAAGGCCTGTAGCTTAACTTGCAGCTCAAATAATTGCACAGCTCTTTCCTTTGAGATGATCATCATACTTTAGTATGCGGCAGAAGTGCTTTATGGCGTACTTCTCATTTTATTACACGGAATATTAAAAAGACATCTCCGGGCTTGAGAGCTAATAAAATTAATACTTTTTACTGCATATGGTAAAGTGTCAAAGCAGGCATTTTTCCCTACAAGTAAATAGAGGTGAAGAATGAATGTAGTGACTGCCAAATACTTATCGTCGGTGCCTCGATTTGTGCTAAAGCACCAGCAATTTTATCAAGTATTGCAATGGTGCCATCTTTACAAAAGTCAGTACTAGGGACCAGCAGTTAGTGTAATGGCTATGTCGCTGGACTCCCATGTAGTCTACCGTGGTTCGAGTCCCAGACCCGGTGGCTTAAACACGCTGGGCACGTGTGCGTGTGTGCCCAAGATCCCAAGAGGACAGTGGAGAAGTGATTGCAGTGTGACCATCCCCCATGGGGGGGGTGATTTCTTGCTTTCTGTCTCTCTGTCTCTCTCTGTCTTTCTGGAAAGTGCATGCACCCTATAGCAAAAACCTCTCCAAAAAAACGTCAATACTATAGGAAAAGGTATTTATATTAGCATGAAAATAGTTTTGACCTCATGGATTTCCCGAAAAAGTCTCTGACCTCTTAGGGCCTGCTGACCACACTGAGAAATGTTGCCCTGACATAATGCTTCCATTTCATGACAGATTTTGAGAGTTTCGACCTGCCTGAAGAGCACCAGATTGCACATCTCCCCTTGAATGGAGTGCCTCTCATGATCCTTGATGAAGAGAGAGAACTTGAAAAGCTGTTACAGCTGGGCCCCCCTTCACCTATGAAGATGCCTTCTCCACCCTGGGAATCTGGTAAGTGAACAGGTGCCCTCCAGAGGGCTGTGAACATTTTGTTTCATAACATTTCCATTAACATCAAAGGGAACAGAGCTGTGTAAGGTTAGTTTATGAGTAATTTCTGTCCTTCGAACTACAGAGATAAGGTTTGAGTAATGAAAAGGACATTCAATTGGTTTTGCTTTTAGTACCAAATGCCCTCGTGAAGTTCAATTATTCTGGAATCTGGACAGTCTTAGACATAGCAAAAAGAAATTAAAATTAGCTTATAACTGCTTAAACCATAAGTTGAAGTATATAATAAACTTGCTTGGAATGAGAATTCAAAGTTCTCTCCAAAGTTAAAGCAGGATTAGGGTTATCTGTGCTGTAGCACAGAATGACAGTCCCTTGTTGCAAAAGGTTTGAGGTCTTAGTTTGCACTTGTGGTCAAAAACTGTCATTAGCAGGGAACCAGCAGTTAGCATAATGGCTATGTCGCTGGACTCCCACGTAGTCGACCGCGGTTCGTGTCCCGGACCTGGTGGCTTAAAACTCATGTCGGGCGCGTGTGCATGCGTGCCCAAGATCCCGAGAGGAGAATGGAGGAGAAGGGATTGCGGCGTGACCATCCCCCCGGGGGGTGATTTCTTGCTTTCTGTCTCTATATCTCTGTCTGGCGAGCGCACGCGCCCTACAGTGAAAATCTCTTAAAAAAAAAAAAAAAAAAAAATGTAA